GTTGCATAACTCGCCTCCTGCTTGCTCCAACCGGATATGAGAGTGTTTTTTATAAAACAAACACAATATCTTACTGTTAGAAGTTTTGAGTACGACACTTTGAAACAATACTGATTTGTCTGGTACACTGAGCCGATTAAAATATATAGCTAGTATTTACTGCGTCGTTAAATTGGAAGCGAATTCCTGCTTCACGAAATCATCAATTATGATTACGAATCTGCGTGGAAGATTTGCAGTTATTCTGAATTAATAGTGTAGAGAAAAAAGGCAGAATAATCTTGTGTCTTATCTGAAATCACTTCTTCACCTATTCCATGCTCTCCTCAATAAACATTCCATCCACACACAACTTAACTCAACAACCAATTCATTATTTGTGTTAACCTGCTTCAATATACCATCATTACACTTTAATTGAAACTGAATGCTTCTCAGAAATGCTCTACCTTGTTTACACAACCCCTGTGACGTGATAACTTACAATACTATCCCATGTTACTCTCATGTTTCATTTGTGTTCAAATCTAAACTACTCACTACTGATAAGTAGCATGAGTGTGTATTGTGCTTGTTATGTGATTAATTAGCAGCCGTTCCGTTATTATTGAAATTCATCACAGCGTATCTAATTTCATGTATAACAATATCCGATTTTATCCTCAGTGATCAGCCTGATACGGTTACACAGCATTCGCTACACATCTTTCTTTCACGTTCCACAGTCCACTGAACCCTGTTTATTCTAACTACATTTACTTTTCTTTGAACGCTCACGGATTCCTCATTTCTCACCATGGATTGATTATTTTCGACTTATCTCACAATGAGAGTGGTATTTACGGGGTTTTAGTCTAGACACTCTACAATTTGAGGCTTGTGACTTGTGTTCATTATTTCTATCTGTAATATAGTACCGAAGCTGATACGATTTGCAGGCGTAAGTCAGGCTGTTTGCCTATTATTTGATTATTTGACCCGCTTTTAGAAAACTGCTTTATGGCTAGTATGGAGAGTGGAGTTTTAATATCAACAATAAACAAGTTACTACTGTACAAATGGTACGTTGACGATGCCTTTATAGTCTACTACGATAACTCGGACCTCAAATGCATCTTACAAGAATTTAATAACCCTCATCCTTCGATTAAATTCACAATGGAATTAGAAAACAATTCAAAGATTCCATCTTTGGACGTGGAATTAACAAGAAGAGATGATAGAACACTGAAGAGGTCCATCCACAGAAAACCGACATAGAACGGCCAACTAACGCATTTCTATAGTTGGATACCTTTAAGCCGAAAACGAGCTCTCATCATCGCATTAACTCATCGGATTACGAAAGTCTGCAGCAGCGATTGCGTGGACGAGGTACTCTTATTCCTCAAAAATATCCTGGCTCCAAATGGCTATCCGATACGTTTTTTCGAAAAGAACATGAAACCTATACTAAAAAGAGAAGAATGTGATTCAGCGTCAAAGAAAACCCTGTATCTGATTCTGAATTTCAGAGGAGATTCGGCAGCCAATATCCTGCAGGGGAGAATAGAAAGCTCTTTAAAGAAGACCCCTGCAGCAATACTAAGAGTGACATTCTCTAGCCGTCCAATGCTCCGAAACAACGCGAAGGACAAACTCTCGCATATGACCAATTCAATTTGCATATAACAGTTCACCTGCTTGTGCGAAGCTAGGTACATACGTCGTTGTATGCGCGTACTTTCAAAACGTGTTAGAGAACATTACCCATCGCGGCTACAAAGAGGAGGCACCGGTCCAATGAGAAGTGCCATTATTGAACATCTGATCAACACTTCCCGGTACATCTCATCTGATTCTTTCAAAGTGATTTACAAAGTCAACAGAGACCTACCAAAAGCAGTATGTTTCCGACTTCTGTGTACTGCAGAAACCCTCGCAATATGCATCGAGAAGCCGGAGCTGTGTGATCAAAAGAAATCAGTCCAACCTCTACAACTACCATGGAACTAGTTTGGTATGTTCCCTTTGCTTCCGTCGTTTCTTCTTTTTCCGCTCTCTGCATGTCTGATCCCTACTCCCTCAGTCTCCATTCGATTCACCGCATTCTTCAGTTATAAAAACAGTTATTTCAAGTTTGTTTCCGTGTTTTTTCTGTTCACATTTATAATTCGTTTAAAATAACTATTTTTACATTTATATCAATCCTGTGCAATTTTTATGTTTCTAAGGATCTTGTAATCTATATTCACACCTCCTAACTCCCATGTCAATTCGAAAATTATTATTTCAATTTTGTTTCCATGCTCACTTTTACATACTTGTTATCCGTTCTAATACTGTGTAACTTTGTTTCCAAGCTTCTCGAAAACCATACCTAGTTGAAAATAATTATCACCATTTATTCGCCGTCGTAATTATGCAGAATCAAACAAGAAGTGTATCCATGTAAAATTATGTATCTGAATGCTAGTGTACAGCTTGTGATAATGAAATCACCAAAAAGATATCATTCCCGAACTTCGTGTTCTCCCTGCTCTAATGTAATGGTGCGTCGGTGGCACACTGGTTAGGACTCTCGCCGACCATGCACATGGTCCCGGGTTCGAGCCCTCGCCGACGCACGCCTGATATCTATGGTTGGCCTGCGAATTTCGGGCTACCGATATCCACGCTGAAAATTCCATACTTGTACCAAAAATACAGTGTGGAATCAAGCTGTAATCAAAAATTAAAAAAAAATAAAAAAAATAAAAACTTTCATGTTTAGTTGTCATTTCGAATTTCTTGCAAGATGATTGTGTAACCAAATAGTATAAAATACAGTAAATAGAATTCATAAGAACGAAACATGAAACTCGGTGTGTAAGATGTCGAATGGAAAGATAACGAGGCAGTATGATGAGTCGATTTCAAAGGAACTACACGCCAATATCATCCATCTGACTCACAATTCTTCTTCATCGCATGTAAATCATGTGAAGTGGAAACACAATTTACAAACGGCCCAATAACCTGAACTATTCGCATCCTACGCAAACACTTGGAAGATAAGACAACGACTGGAATGTCAGAATACCAACTTCCCAATTAATAGAACTTCTCCCTCAACGCAGTTTCAATTTACGATTCATACACTGGTGTGTATTACAGAAAGATAGATGGAGTACACATGCGATCACATTTTGACCAGTTACTCGCACATATCTATATGGAAAGTTTGCAAAGTGATACTGTGAACTCAATTGTCGACAAATTTCTCAAAACAAAAGCCTTGATGATGATTTATCATTTGTGATCATAAATGTAGTTGACATAATATCCCACAGATTTTAACAATGGTCATCCAAACACCGAATCACTGTTGATGTGGTGAGAGGATGCTGAACCGAGTGACTGACTGACAAATGACAAACTCCTACAGTTCAGTGCTCAGAAATCTCAAGAGACATCTGGTATTGTCTCTTCAGTGGTGGTTGCATAGTCAGTTCGGTAGGTCCTCAGTGGACACACTGAGGATGATGGGTATATGAACTTCTCACGAATGCATACTGTAGGCTGAATAGTTCGAATATCATTCGCCTCAGCTATATGGAGTAGATGATGTTGAATGGAGTCGACGGCCACTATCACAACTACTAAATGTGATGAAGGAGAGAGCTGCAAACGGATTTTATCTATCCTTTACAAAGCCACAATGGAAAGTGTTCGGCGACACGCCGGCTGATCTATCTGGTGGCACGCCTAACATAACTCTCCCCGAGGTGTCAAATAAACTGACAGATAAATATAGATGTGGCAAACTTATCTAGTTTAGCCTTCATTTGTAACTGTTAAAATAAATGAATTATTGGTGAGATTTTATGAAGTCCACACTCCTCCCACTATCACTTGTGATGAAGAGCAGGACAACAGACTTTGGCTGTCTTCCTAGGTGAGATTCACTCAGGAGACGTGTGTATAGGAAGGGCTTACAGGACAGTCCATGGATCTGACTTATCTTTTGTTTGTATGCTAATTTTTCTAACTATTTAAAACCCTTGTGTAATTCTGTATATTATTTTGTTTGCATATACCCCCTGAGCACAACTCTTTCATCAAACTATTCAGGCCATCACGTAACGCTTATTTAACAATCATTTATGACTATTCTTCGCTTGTGTTACTATCCTCTTATATCAACATCCAACTCACATGAACCTACTCCTCTTTAACAATCATTTGTGAAAACTCATCACTTTTGTTACAATTCTCTTATTTCAAGATCAAATTCACCTGAACGTACTAATAGTATTTTCGTTTGACAAATTTAATGTATACACACACACACACACAAAACAACCATATATCTTTGCAATTGCACAGCTATGAAAATGAATTCGCCGAAAAGAGACTCTTCGCTGAACTAGTGGTCTTCTGTTTATTAATGTTCGAATGGCGATTGGTCACGTATATGCACGATCCGCTCATCCTACTGGCAAGTCTCTATGATTAATTTGTAAAACTGTCTATGCATTCGAGTGGAGTCTGATAAGAATCGCTTGGAAACAACATTGATCGCTGACATGTGTTGTTCTGAAAGCTTTACATCTATTCATGTTTTTGTTGAACTTCCTTTTGAAATGACGAAACAACGACTTTAGCATTGAGTGACAACCTGTCCATATGACAACCACACACGATCACACTAATTCCTGAAACTGCCTAGTCACGTAATTATCTACCTTGAATCCACACCTGTTTTGCTTGGTATTCGATATTTTCATGCGAAAAATTTCGATGGATTAGGCGTCAGTGAGTGAGTGCTTATTTGTTCCGTCGTCAATCGTCCCACAAGTTTATATTTCACGTTAAAATGTTAATATCGTCGAAGTTGTTACTATGTGTTATTGTTGATTCGTCACATTCACTAGAGGATAGTTCAAGCAGGAATAGCTGTTAATAAATGAGGGATATTCAGTGAACGATTCGAATCCATTCTTCCCCACTTACAAAAACTTATTATCAGAATATTATTTGTAAATATACTTTATTTAGAATGAGTAGTTACAAGTACTCAATTCAACAGGAATGAAATAAATCAATGATGAGGTAATCCACCTGTAACCTCTGACTCAATTCCACATTCATCTTTCCCACGTAATATTCTAAAGTATCCTTTCTCGCCCCAATCTTCATTCCACGAATTAGCAATCAACCAATAGGGCGTTTTCTTCTCTACACCCCATCCTATGATTCTAACAGCATGTCCACCGATTTCTGCTCCTGTCATATATTTGTAGATTCCAGATTTATAATTAAGGAAATCTGAGTGTACTGTGAAAGCTGCTTCCACTGGTCCATGCATCATAATTTCTTTCTTGATTGCATTCTCGTTATTAAGCACGTTGTAAGACATTCTCCCTAGTGAATGAGTGATAGATTAAGATGACAGTATATAAAGTATCATTATTAATGTGACAGAAGCAAGTGTTTACCTCAATTTCTCACCGATTCGAATGAGTACATGACAATTATCTACAACACTATCTAAGCACATGAGAATGATGTAATGATGACCACATAAATCAGTACAGAAAATACTCTAAACAGTATAACATTGTTAGACGCGATAATTATAAATTCATTCTCCTCAGATGAGTACACTGATAATCACTAAGGCCTTATAGCGCCGATCGGTGTAGTCAAGAATTTCCAGACACCATGAATCGAATACCTGGATGCCTATTCACATGTTTCTTTACTATATCCGGCAGTCTGTTGTTGCTTTTACTGTCCCATTATGTTCCTTTATTACATGCAATCCATTTAAATTTGTCTTTGAATTTAGAGGCACATGATGGAGCTTACTCGCCAAGAACAAGTCAGAGATAACTGAGATAATACCAAGGTGAAGTTGAATCCATTTGCTCATCGCTAACTGGTGATGTCAACATGATGCTTTATGATATCAAATTTACTATAACCAAAAATGGTTCGGTTACCTCTATTATTCTGTGTAATGTATAATGCCTGAGTGGATTAGGTATTGCCCATTGTCATTAAACTCCAGTTACCGTTAAGCAGAAATGACACACTTCCTGACTATTTTGCATGTTCATCTTTTATCAATCGATGCTCACCTCTATGCGGAACACTGACACATCGTTACATGATAAGGCCATTTATTTAATAGGCGTCAGGTCACATTTTGTTTTGGAAAACATCGATACCAGTGCTTAGGTATCTAGTTTGTTTGTCGTACCGGCGATATGCACTATAGGACTGATCCATAGAAGTATGATCCCGGTGGTTCAATGGTAGATAGCTCACCAATGACGCACCTTGTCCGGGATTCGCCCCCTAGCCGATGCACACCTATATCTCGCTAAGCCGGTGGTAAGGCCAGTAGACAGTAAACAGGAACTGGGAAACAGGCTGGAAATCGTACCCTGTTAAAACAAACCCCCTACTAACGAAGCATCCACTCGGAACCTCAAGGGGTAAAATAATAAATAAAATGAGTACACTCCGTTCGAAAATATCAAACAAAAGTCTTCACAGAAACTCTGAGGACTAAACCTCTCAGTGATACATATAATAAAACAAAATCATGTATCGAACTGCAACTCCTTGTCAAATCCTGTTCACAGGGATTCGAAGGCGCCAAATGTATTGAGTAATTACAGTCAAGACAGAAGATGCCTATGACCAACCCTGGTTACAATATCGAGGACAGCTGTGGAAATCAGTAAGTATGCATTATGACTATTTCAGTATATATAAATTTGCAAAGTCATGAATGGTCTGAAAACAAGTGTCATGAGGACTTTTCATTCACTCTTCAAATATAATCACGGTTGAACTGTTTGTAAACACTGGAGATACGACAATATTAATTTTAAGTTTAGAACACATCCAGCATTAACAACAATAATGTTTTCCATTCTTTTATGTTCCCAGTGGAACATAGGACTTCAGGCTAGAGTTATGAAGTTTCGGTAGCAGTGGTATGTATTTTTACTGGATAGTGTTGCTAGCCTCATATCCAAACTTTCCTCTTCGTCAGTCTTACTGCAAGCATATCGATGTAAATGAGTGCATTCGTCGGCGGAGATCGAACAGTGAACCACCTGAGTGGTTGGTGAGCATTCTACCGCTGTGTCACCGACAATCAATAATAATAATAGTGTGGGGAAATTAATACATTAGGATAAGTCGGAAGAAACTCGATATGGAAAGTTGACTCCTATGTTACTCTCCTGATAACATATGCCCGCCTGCTTCATCAATGCGCTACCATAATTCTCTTTCATCGAAATGCTTCAACTCTTCTGCATTTCTCAATGTTTAAATCATGAAGTTATATCAGAAAATCGCTACAGTTAAAAGCTGAGCAGTTTGTGAATGGAAACGAAGAAAAAGTGTACAGATTCGATTCTCTATTCCCATGCAACAACAATACTCAGCAGGATATACTTCAGATTATTACTTGACATGTAAATCCTGTCTGAGGAGAAAATATATGGGAGGAAATGCGCTGAACATTTCTGTGCTGTGCTCATACTTTGTCTGAAATGAAGCCAAATTATTGTTAGTATTCTAAAATCCACTTGGTAACGACATCAGTATGCCGTTTCACTAATATTCATAAGAATAGTAAATAGAAGAAGAATTTAACTGCACATTTTCAGTGAAGAATTTACACAATCGCAACGAATTTCATCATTATCATCATCAACTCTACTTACCATAGTACTTGTCCTTCCCATAGGGTGTTTTGTACCCTTTCTGACACTTCTGATGACATTTCGGTGTCTTGTAAATCTTTTCACCACATTCTGGATACTTTCCCGTAGTATGATGTTCGCATTTAGGGAATGGATATGGTTGACAGCCTGTGTGATTCTCTTTCGAACTGCCAGTAACAATGCCGTCTTCTACCCAGTAATCCCAGGCTGCTCCAGGAAATCCTCCTTGGCAGCCCAAACCACATTCTGTACAACAGCTGAGTAGATCGACTGCACTTAATTCCACAGATTTCTTCCCTTTCGACTCAATGCAGATACGATCACTCATTGCTTCAACTGCAGCGAATGCCTGAAAAACGATAAAAGCAATTTCCCGAATATATTACAGGAGTGCATCTATTGCTCTTCACCTACCGGGAAAATAGTTTTATTGATCAATGTGATGAGAATATCAATGATAACAATGACTTTACTTGTTACAGTCCAAACGCATAACATCAAACAAAACACCCTACTCACAGATTCTAGTGTCCTTCATAAAGTCTTCCTAAAGTAATCCACGAAAAAAATAAGCAAAGTAAAAGAGACAACAAAATGTAAAAATAAAAACAGTCTCTCAACCTATGCATGTAGAGCGTCAGATGAAATATTTCCCCGGAAATCAAGTGCATAAGGCAACCAGAAAAATTTCACAAGACCAGCGAATTTCAGGATACTGAACACTCAACTCCGTTTCTACTTCACTACCCTTCATTTCACTGGATTCGTGGGGATGAACAAGATCATTCAGGTTTCAATGATATGTGATTCACCTGATATTTAGATGGAGTCAGCTTGCGACCACTTGACAAGGACTACTGGCTACTTTCTCATATTTATGCTATTCATTTTAGGAGAATCTCAGTGGGGATTAACAAGGCAACGGAAACAGTCTGCACATCAGTATACTTCACTAAACTAGCTTCGTTAGGGTAGGAGTGAATCACCCACAAAGAACGAGGAGAGCGAAGTAGAGAGAGCAGAAGCTTCAGGGACATTAGCTTTAGCGACCTATAAGGTGAAAGGCACTCACTCGTATATTCCCCACTTTTCACTTCACAATCCAGATCTCATTCTCAGTCACAACCAACTTGTTCAAACAAAGAGATCAAAAGTAGATTAATGGTCTATGTAGTTACAGTGGATGCACATGTCACCTTTGTTTTAACTTTCGTAATGCAATTAGAATGAAAATCAGATACAACTTCCGAATTACTTCCTCGGTATTTGTAAGTCAGCTGGTTTAGATCATTCAGAGTCTTTAATGAAGGTTTACTATTACGTGAGAGCAATATTCCCACGTTTTTCAAAAGGTATGAGGTAGTAGTTTAGGCAGTGAGTTTAGGCTTCGAACACCATTGAGTGAATCATCTGACTAATGGTTCAATCCTAATAGCCTACCAAAAGACAGGGAGTAAAAGCGTTAGGAAATGATGCACCAAAAACACCAGTAATAGGACAACAGTAATATCCGCATTTTTGTGAGATTACATGTAATCTGGACACAGGCTTTGAGAAGAATTCAAGGACCGAAACCCTTTAAGAACATCAGTCGTACCGAGACATAAAATGTCCTAAATATTTTGATTTGCAACAAAAGAAAACTCAGCACATTTGGACAACATATGAAATAATTGATAGGGCAACAAGCATATTACCAGATAATATTCAGGTCACATATGCTACAAGACTGATCAAACCTACCCAACATGAACCACATCGGGATTGGTCACGAATATTCGATATACTTTTACACTGACGCCACTTCTTTCGTGAGTCAAAGCTCGATGGTATTTCCAAGCTCACATTTTGATGGTCAACTGTTGGTCGTCTCTTCTTTCTTAACTCTTCATCCTCACGCATCGCGCCGAGTAGAATTCGTGCGTCTTCTAGCGATTTGAATCGATCACTTCGGCTAGCTGTCCAACCAGCATCAGGCTGACAAATGAAGGAGAGACAGGGAGGGGACGTAAGTGCTCAAAATAATTCAAACTGATTAACACTGTAACTGAAAGATGCGAAACAGTGAAGTAAACCACCTCTCACTCTTTGACTGTTTTATCGATTGGGATGATTTTAGATGCTGAGCGGTATCATCGTCGGGTAGGGATGCATTTGAATGTAAAACCACCTGCTAGGAAAGTCTTTACAATCACAATGTCACACAGAATATTAGATGGTTTGAGGCTATCGGCAGATGGATTGGACAAATTGTTTCGCGCCTGTTGTCGTAATCAAGGCGTGTCTAAAAATTTGAGGCCACTCATATCCTGTCTGAGATTCGAACCTGTGTCAACTAGTGTTGCAGTCAGAGACGTCAGTCACTGAGCTGTTCGGGATGATGATTGACTTCCTATGGGAGTGCATTAGATACTTCGATTGAACACTAGATGATGGTAAGTAGCTAGTGTCATGCGTCAGGTATTTTGTTTGGTGCAGACTGAATTCTGTCAGTCAAGTGTTCACGAAACCTAGTTGCAACGCTCTCTTCTGACTGCCTCCAACCATCTAACAACAACAACAATTCGTGTTGTTGTGCAGCGTGATGCCAATCACATTGCAAACTTGACTCATAGATTTCAGTCGTCACCAAACAAAAGACTAGACACGTGACACTAACTACTTACCATCCAGTGTTCAACCAGTGTCACACAAAATACCATAACAAATCGGAAGACTGCACTTGAAGACTGAGGTGAGTAAAACGTGTAGTCGTGCGGAATATACAGGCTGACTTCAACAAATTTCTTGTTTACGAACGATTTCAGTGAGAATGAATGCGTTTCCGCACGCTTGCATGAAGCATGAAACACGAGTGGTCAAGTAAAGTCGACTGTCATCGTTCTACATGGAATAATAATAATAACAGCTTTATTCCAGACAGTATTTGTGGTACAGGTATCGAATTTTCAGCGTGCATTGCAATACATTGTATCTAATTACCTCATAAACTTTATAAGATTTTAAAATCAAAAAGCAACACCCCAAAAAACAAGATGAATAAAAAAATAAATAAAAGAACAGCGTTGCGTATACATTTGAAACAATGCACCACAGGAAATGAAATATAAAATCGTTGTGTAATAGAAGATGAGAACAACAGTGTAATAGTAACGAGGAAAGGAAAACAAAATCTAATGGGACTATTTGTTAGAGTGCCGCAGTGAGTTGATCGTGTCATACCTAAGGGATTTCTCATCACATAACAGCTGTGCCAGATAAGGTATTGTGGAGCTTTTGTAGTTGGTAGTCCTAGCGTATAGCCTCCTATAGCTGCTTCTAGTTCTACCAGATGAAACGCAAGGAGAGAGCTGCGTATAGAGAGGATGCTCGGGGTCTGACAATATTGTATTCGCTAGTTTCTTACATGACATTATATGTCTATCTACAATAGTGTTAACCAGTTGGTTTAACGATATCCCACTTGCCCTACTAACGGCTTTTAGTTCCCTTCTCAGCAAAGCAAAGTCTTTCTCAAGTAGTCCAGGAAAGATTAATGGGGATCAGTAAAGGGGGATGGGTAGAATACAAGAATTTACAAACTGAGAAAGCAAAGACTGCTTTATGCCAGACTGCCTAAATTCCCTAACATAGAACGTGAAGCGAAACATCTTTGCAGTAACTAGCAAGATATGGGAGGACCAGGAAAGATTGGTGGAAAAACTCAGCCCAAGGTACTTGACACTAGATGTAGTTTCAACCTCTATGCCGTTAATGATAGTGGGGCCATGTGAGCTAACTAGTAGTTGTAGGTGAAGTTAACATCTGAAAGTAAAATTGACATCCTAAAATTTAGACGCATTTAGCTTAAGACCGTTTGAAGAGGACCACTGACTAATTTCCGACAGAAAGTTATTTAATTTGGAACAATCTGACTGAGAGTTGACAGGCATAGAAACAGAGAGGTAATCGGCATACTTAACAAAAGTGTCTACATCAGAATGAGGCAAGTCATGTGAGAAAAAAGAAAACTGAAAAAGAGAAAGAAAAGCACCTTGAGGAACTCCAGCTAAAGTAAGTGAGTTAGTGGAGGACTTTCCATTGTAGACGGTGTACTGCTTCCTATCAGAGAAATAGGAATGCAGCCACTTATATGTCCAGCTCTCAACCTGTGTTGAAGCAAGCTTACTTAGCAAGAGAGATCTAGGAACAGAGTCAAATGCAGATGTGTAATCAAGGAAGGCACAGTGAACGTCTTTAGCTCCTTTATCTAAACTAGAGACTATACTATGACGTAGGACAACAGCGACATCTAAGGTACACCTACTATGTTTATAGGCAAACTGGTTGGAGTCATTGAAAGGCTTCAAAGAGGGTTCAAAATTAAGTAAAATAAGTCTTTCCATAACTTTCAGAAAAGGTGAGGTAATAACAATAGGTCTAAACTTAACAGTAGGTCCACTTGCTGATTTAAGCAGCGGAACAATCTTGATATTTTTCCATGAGTCAGGTATAGTACTTTTGGAAAACGATTTGTTGAAAACGTCAATTAATGGGGAACACAAGATGTCAGCAAACTTCTTAAGGAAGTAAAGTGAATAATGAAGTCACGAATTGACTTCAGATAACCAACCGTCTAACAGAATGTATTCTTCACCTGAGGGAACAGTATTGATTGGTGAGGTGTGTCTCGCTGCTCGTCAGTAGACATTTCTGCATCTAACACATTCATCATCAATTCATCATCACATTCGTAGATATTCGATAGTGAGAATGAGTGAATGTGTGTATCACATAAGTAGTATGGTAAGCAGTATACCAGACAGGAAATATTTCATTGAAAGTGGAACTTACATGCTGATTGATATACGCAATCATTTCATCCGACAAGGGCTCGAATTGTATCTCATTCTCGGGGAGTATATGAGCAGTGAGGATGCTCATGAAGGATATGATACACAACACTGTATTCATCATTCTTCACTGGGTGATGAGGTGATGCTCAAACTATACAAATGTCTTCATATCTTATTCTTTTATAAATAGCCTAACTGATAACGACCTTTGAATCATAATATGGTGATTTTGTGTGTTTAGTTTTTACCTCATCTTATCACTGCTGTTATCGAAACACTTGAGTGAGTTGATTCTGTTTGACTTTTTATATATTGTTTTGATCAAAGTGCACGAAAATGGTCTTCTCCGTAAACACCAAATCTATTTTATCTATGTGGATGAAGTTCGAGTCGAAGATTTTTATTTACACTCCACTAAATTCAAGTTGAAAGGAGGTACTTTGAACATTCATATAGCAATATTGTTTATTTTTAATGGTTCGTTGAATTAAATATTCACTGAGAAGAACGAAACCATAACTGTTAGATAAAAGTACAAAAAAATTGAATGGAAAGAGATGTGTGTACGTGTGTGTGGACTGATTTGAGAGCACAAATTTTGAGGTTCCTATTGATTTGTTTGTAAAGATGTTTTACACATTTGTCACAGTGTAAATACTCAACGCATTCTTTTAGGTGTGTGTTGCATATCTGTATTATTTCGGGAATCCTGATTGCTTCTCTGAACAGATTATGGTGTTCTACTTACTTCATGGGGAACAATCAAAATGAATAAAGTTGAGTTAGAGACATTCACTCCACTGGTAGGTGACGCACTGTCACAACCTGACTTCCCAATGGAACTTTTCAAATCTATAATTATTTCCTATTGTGACGGATTCCGAAACTCTCTGAAGAGAATGCAGTCACAAGTCAGCAAACAGACATTGAGATGGTCTATAACAGCCTAAATCGAGTAAGCGTTCCATTAAGACCCGATCAGATAAATGTGATGGTGTATTTCAGCTAGGCGAAACTGATGACAGAGAAGAAATGGAAGTTGTTATAGACATAGGAATTGAAACTGTTGATATTTATGATTTGAAAGATTGGGTCATTGGGTCCTATGTTTTGTGGCCAAGGTTATAAGGTCAACCGACTTGATACGGATATCCAGTTAAAAAAACCTCCTCCTACAAACAGAAGATTTGGTCCCAATATCAGACGATGAAGTGGCTAAGTTTAAAACTACACTAGTCGACACTTGTCAGCATTACAAAAATAGTAGTCATTCTAGTAAACGTTTGTTGATTAAACAGCATCAAGAAGACCTAAGAAAGCTAAGGAATGACGAAAACATTACAATCAGTAGACCTGGAAAAGGAGTTGTAGTAGTAGTGATGAATAAAAGTGATTATGTCGACAAAATGAATTCGCTTCTAACGGATGAAATGAAGTTCCAAAAGCTTAGCAACTCGACAGATATAGACGGAAAAGCTGAAAGCAGTTAACTAACACGCTTACGGAGCTGAGAAAAAGTGGAGTATTCTTAGAGGCAGTCTACAACTGTCTTAAACCTACTGGAAGTAATACCTTACGATTTTATGGTCTGCCTAAAGTACATAAATCAGGACTTCCTCTTCGCCCAGTCCTGGATATGTCTAATTCCACCTACCATGGAGTGGCAAAGCGGCTCGGTAAACTCCTCCAACCGTTACACAAGATGGTAGTAAATCATAGTGTGAAAGACGTTTTTGAACTTATTGCTAACGTGGATGGACATCGGAATTCCAGTTATTAGTCTGAAAGAGTTGCTTTTAGGATGTACTATGAATGTACACTTCACATTCAACAACCTTTTCTACAGGCAAATCGATGGTATTGCCATAGGTTCTCCATTGGGACCGATTTTGGCAGATTTCTTTCTTGCCAAGATTGAAAATGGTCCATTGAAACCAGTAATAGAAAAAGCTGTTTCTTATTTTCGTTATGTTGATGATACATTTACTATTCATGATATGAAAGCTGACAAGAAAGAAATGTTAATAAAACTCAATGATGCACATCCACCGCTCATTTTCACTTGTTTAGAAGAACATGATGGTGGACTACATTTCCTTGACGTCCAATTGAGCAGAAGAGAGGATGGTTCACTGAAGAGAGATGTCTATAGAAAACCTACATCTGCAGGACAATATACACATTTTCTCAGTTTTGTACCAATCCGATGCAAAGTCAATTTGGTCAGATGTCTCACAAATAGAACAAGACGTACCTGTACAGATGACCCTCTACAAAATGAGTTGGGATACATCCAGTATACGTTGGTTCAAATGGGTTATCCTAGTAGATTTGTAAGGAGACACATGAATACCAAGTACAATATAGAAAAACTGACAACAGTTGAAAAGAAACAACTCTTCATGAAACTGCAATTTAAGGGGGACGTGGCTAGTGAAATCTTACATCAGAGATTATCCAGAGCGATAAAACGAACTTATAGTGCCGCCACCCTTTGTTTGTCATTTTTCAGCCGGCCAATTTGCATTGCTCAAGTGAAAGATAAGCTACCTAGCTGTACCACTTTCGTGTGTATCTTTAGACACACATGGAGAGAGCTATATGGGGCAAACAACTAGACAGCTTAACAAACGCATTAATGAACATCTTCCTTCATGGTACGGAAAAGGTCAAATAAAATCTATAGGAAGTTCTATTTCGGCTCATTTGATTGACAGCGGTCACCAAGTGGACAAAAATAGTGCCTTCGAAGTTGTCTATCGCATTCCACTGAGCCTTTCGAAAGGAATTTGAATCCGTCTTTTACACATAGCCGAAGCTATGGGAATTCGAGAAAACAATCCGAGTCTTTGCATACAAAAGAAGTTTGTTCTACTTTTGTCTCTCCCTTGCGTCGCCTAGGTGAATTCTATTCAAAACCCTTCCATCCTTTCTTATTTTCCACCTCCTTCGTATTTTCATGATATTTATCTAAACTCTGATTATCTGTCTACTTCACCTTTAGTATTACGTAACTTTAAAGATTTGACCTAATTTATTTATTTATTGGATTGTCTACATATATGCATATACTAACTTTGTTATTCTTATCACCTGTGTAAGCCTTATTATCAATATTTTGTTGTCATTATAATCATCGTTATTAATTTCGTTCAAAACATTCACCATATTATTATTATTACTTGATCCACAAAATCACCTTTAGTGGTTAAAATTTTGTATATATAAATCTATGTAAATTAGAGTAAAGCCTGAGGAGGATCCAGTTGAAAACAATATTGTTCGCTTATATGTCTTGTTCAAATATAAATTAGACCAATTGAGATTAACTCAGCGAATTGGCGAACTTTATGTTGTCGCGTTGTCTGAACTGAGTAGTTATTTTTGAATTAGACTTTATGACCTACACTCTAGAGAGCATTGAATGTATTGACTAGAAGTAGAATGGGATCTGAGAAAATCACTCAACCTCACAGAATATGATCCACTTTATATTTCCTGCTGAACTATATTTCTCTTCTTTAGTTTTCATAGTAAATGATACATCAAGGCTCTATTTTTGCTTCTATCAATTTGTTTTGCATACTCAGCATTTTTCCAGTTACCCCTTCACCTTAGTGTATGTAGAAGATTGAATAATCTCCCAGAATCCTTACCAAAAATAATACCACTCCCTTGTGTTTATTTGTAGGTGAGTGACTGGTGACGGATTTCTCCACCCTAGCAGACAGGCAACAGTTGCTGCAGAATTTACAGAGAACAAAGCACAAAGCAGATGGACAGTTACCGGCGTTTACATGAAAATGCAGAACCCCTACCCTCAATGAATATTTACATTTACAAATATTGGTGTCCTAGTTTTCTTTACGTGTTTCAACGCTAATTCCCAGCAATAACAACTGGTCATTACTGTACCACCGATGGACATGTTAGAGCCATCAGAAGTGACCAGACAGTTACTGAGTAGAACTTTGGCTGAGATGAATTAAAACTACGGTGAAGACAAATCAAAAACCGACAGTTGCATGTATCTCTTCTTTGAACGACAGACATTAGAAACTAACATACTGAGCCGGTTTCCTTTATCAGAGCAAACATATTTGCAGGATAAAATGGGCTCGTTTTATTTTGTGTCTTTGTCTTCAGCTGTGTACACAGCTTGAATTCTATCTATCAAATAGATACTGGCTAGATAAGAATCAGTGTTATACCGTTAGAAGATGAGACATTAAAAGCGCAGTTATTCACTAAACTAAGATCGAAACCCACACTGTTGCTATTATAAGGCAAGATAGGAAATTCCAGCGACAGTTCTGAAGATGACAACATATATGACATACACAGGGTTTTATTCCACTCAGAACTCGTTAGACGACAAGTTCAGATGTTCAGATATATTGTTACTGAAGAACCTGATAGGCAACATATTCCTGCAGCGTTGTGAGTAAAATAGCTCAAAGTACGCTATAAAGCATTGATTTTCAAGGTTGAGACCAAATATCAAGCTGACTGAAGTGGAAACGCTTTGTGGTGGTACGATACAGACAATGTCTTCCAACGGAATATTAAGCGCCACCGTTTTGTTACAGGATTTCATCTTGAGCTGACATTGGTTAGAGTACCATTGGAAAACTTGGAAATACTGGACAGCTGTTTCGTTCTGGTTTGGGACTCTTCATCAGAACGCACCCACCCTTACGTTTCGAACCCAGGACCTTCTGGTTAGAAGGCCAGCGAGCTCGTATACCATTAAGCCACTGGGACCCGATCCAATGTCCCATTAATTCTAACCCGGTGAGTGCGTATTGATGAAGAGTCCCAAACTAGGGCGAAGCAGCTGTCCACTACTCCCAGGTTTTCCAATGGTTCTCCAACCAATATCAGCTCATGATGAAGTCCTGTAACCAATCAACCAAATCCTTACAAACCAACACTTGAATATATTAGGAGTTGCCTAAAACCATTTAAAACAAGTTTATATCACCTTAAACCAGAATCGACCAATTAAGTCACTGGGTTGAGGTGGAATATTTGTCATAAAGTTAGTGAACAACCACAGATAGCTGACTGTATGCAATCAAATCAGATTATGCATTATATGGCTCCAATTTCTGAGTATTTTCAGTGCATACATACTAGGTGTTATTCTATAGTAAAATGAATAGTCTCACAAGCTCAACTGGATTTACTTGCATCCTTATGAGCTGTAACCTTTCCGAAAATACTCCAAGACACAGACCATCATGTCATGTAGCAAACAAATTCACTTCCAGTTAAGCGACGCAACAAATCCGAATAGCTTTCATCCATTTCAGTGCTGCACATAAATAAGTACTGATTAACAGGAACTCATCAATTTGCAAATACTATAAACATCATTCTGACATTCAAACATGGCGTCAGTATTAGCAGAAATGTTTTAAAAAAAGAAGATGCGAATCC